TCCGCGCCCCGCCCAAGGCCCTTGGGGTCTGCCTCCGGAGGCTGGCTTTGTCCTGGTACCTACGGGGAAAGGGAGGAATGGCCTCGAACTCCCGCCTCGCCGGTTGCGAGTATCAGCGGAGTTGCAGCTATTTGAAATGCTTACTTAACGGTGTACGAAATGTGAGCACAAAAACATAATACTACAAAAATATGACCATGCAGAGGATTTGACTAGCAGACTTATGTTGTCAGGCCCTTCAAAACAATAACAACTTGTTATGTTTTTCCATCGTGCAAGTGATAATTTTGGGATGACAATTTTTTTAATAGAGGTTTGCTTTTTTAAAAAAAATTCTTTTTAACCAGTTGATCCAAATACAGAGTTTTAGATGTTCTGTACTGAGGTTCCCTTGTTTTGTTGTTAGGCCATTGGAGGTTTGTTTTTTTTTTTTAAAAGACTGGCATTTGTACAACATCTGACCAAAATGGCCTTTTTTCAGGGAAAGAACAGTTTTGAGTAAGTCACTATCGCATTATATAAAACCTTTCACATGTCAGTGAGTACGCTGTGTCGCAAAGAAAGTACAGCAGTTAGCTTGTTAAATCCATAACCTACACAGAAAATTAGATATGCTAATAGATTTAACAGATACAGTGTATCAAGGAATGTTAATGCTGTGCCTAAAGTATTTCAGAATATATTTGGGTGCATCTTTCTTGGTGTGGGGGCTGCACAGTGCTCCCATGACTACTGCCCTGTGATACTATGTTTGGGATGCTCTAATTAGAAGGTAGTATATCCGCCCTTCTCAGTGTCTGGGTGATTAGTGTCCCTGTGTTTGCCACATCTAATTCTACTGAAATCAAGTTTCAGCTTTAAAAACACCACTGAAAAATGGTAATCCAGAAATGTGCTATTTATAAAAAAATAGTGGAACAGGATAAATTTAAGAGAAAGGTTGTTTTTTTTTTTTTCTGTAGCTAATAAGAACACATTGTTATTGAAGTAAATAATGAACTTAAAGAGTGATTATCCCTTTGTTGTCATTAGCTTACATTTTGACAAGAAGCTATTATCAAGGTAACTTCCTAGGCACACAAATAGGATAGCGATTTCTTTCTGTATGCTCATGGAGAAGAAATAATTGCAAAGATCATGTTTAAACATGGTACTAATGTTATCATTTCAATGGCATGGAAGTTATGACTCTGGGGAAACTGAGTTTTATCAAAATGATCCATTTTGCTACAGTTGCCTTTTTGTTTATGAAAAACTTCTAGTTTCCACCACAAATTTTCTCTTGTAGCACACAAGCTGTCAGGGAAGCTAGCTAAGTTGCATGCGACTGAATTGTGTGTTTTAACATTTGGGTTTCTAAGTTGTATGTTTTTCTATGTTGTGCATTTTCTGGAGTTGAAGAAAACATCACATCAAAAACTGAACTTGGGCTAAAGAGTTTTAAGCGTGTTAAAAGTAGTTCTCAATGTTTAGCTGAATGCATCAGTCTTTTAATTAGGAAGCTAATAAACATTAACTTCACTCATTGTAAGAATGCACAGGTGCTTCATATTGACTTAGGGAAACAATCAGATTGTTTTAGTTTCATTGAATCAGAAATGCAACTTTATGTACATTACACCAGAAGTTTAATATATGAAAGCCATAATTAATTAACTGTATTAATGTGGTTTATATAAGTTCCTTGCATATTTTATGTCTTTTGAAAATTATTATTTACATCATACTATAAAATGTAAATATATTTGTTAACATTTCATAAACTTGTGGACTGAAGCACAGTCACAGCTGATTTATTTAACCTTGGTATGTTGCTGTGGCCAGTAAAGGTGGCAGGTGTTAGTTAATGAATGCTTTAGTTACATCAGACTTACAGGTGAAAAGTTGATCTTTGAGCTTTTGAGAGCATTGGCTTTTTTAGTCCTCAAGGGGTGTAATGGGTTTGAATAATGAAGGTTTCCAGTGGTCAAGAGCTCATTCTGTGCAAGAGAAGTAATCTTGATCTCTACCTGATTCCAACCAATAATGATAAATTAAAAGAGAATAGCTATAGTGGAAATACTGTTCAGTGCCCACTTCCTGACCTCCAGGGTGAAGCTGATCTTCCTGGCCAAAATTTGAGCATAATAAACCATCAGTGACAGCCTGTGCTGTTTGAACATCATGTTTTTTAGGGGAACACAGAAGGTCTTCTGAATTAACTCATATTCAGGAGTCTTAACTTTTAGCATGGGTATGGGCTGTTGTTCCAGTAATACGTTATTAGCTGTCCTTTGAGGTGTGTTTCTAGGTAGAGCAAACAAGTAGACTTCTTGGTGGTCTGCTTATCTCTGTACTTTGAAAGAAGGAATGTTCAGTGATTACAACCTTCATAGTGATTGCCATGGAAAAAGTTACAATGCAGTGGCAAATGGTAAGTAATGATTGGGGAGGGATTATTCTGCTTTCAGGTAAAAGCTCAAGATCTAGGTCTCTTCATAATAAAGTCAATAGTGCATTTCTGTGACACACACAGTCATTAGAAATTGAGGACTCCTAATCACTATCATCTTGCTGCCTTATGGAAAATTACAAATAATTTTCCTCTTTGTAACAGCCTTTACATGTAGGAAGACATGGGTCTGGCAAGACAAAGTTTCTCCAGTGGCCAATATTTTCCAAGTTTTACTATTTGCTCTTTTCCAGACTATGTATAAATTGACAGCAAAATCTTTGATATATTCACTCAGGAGAACCTTTATCAGTATTATGGATAACATTAGAATAGACAGTTATATGTACAGATGGTACTCATATTAATGCATGATGGTCTGAGAATTGCAGGTTTTGAAAGTTTGTAACATTTTTTACTTAATTCAGCTTGTGATCCACAAGCTGATAACTGCTGATATTTTCTGTTGACTCACTGCTTATCTGATTATTCTCCTTCTTGCATTTGTATTTTTAAATTCTCCCAAGTATACCACCACACGCTTTCCTTTACCAAAATCTGTCTTGTGGATTTTTAGATCATATCTTCATTTTGTGAAAATAATTTCACAATTGTTTCACATTTGTGAAAATTGCTAATCTTGTTACTGAGATTTCCTGCTTTCTGAGTTCGGTATTATCAGACCGGTTTTTGAAAATGCCCTTCCTTTCCTCATTCCTCTTTAGCGAAAGTGTTAATTAGAAGCAGAAGGGGTTTGAACAAATCGCATCCATGTCAGATTCAGATGGCACCCTACTGGAAATGCTGTCAGTGAACTATTGACTCAGCCTCTGAGCGCAGATTAGTTTTGGCTGGTGTACGCGTAACATACAGATAAAGTGTGCCTGTATAGTTTCCTTTTGAGAATGTTTGGTGGGACGAATCAAGGACTAAAGCAAAGGGTATCATAATACACTGCTTCCCTTTCACCACATCTCAAGTGACTGTGTCAAGGAAGGTTTCTTAAGAACAAGTACAATTTTGTTACAGTTTCAAATTCACTTTGGATTATATTTACTTTGTCTGTAAAGATTTTCTGTTCAGTGTATTTATCCTGATAAGCCTGGGGCATTGTTAGCAGTGTACTGTTTCAAAAGTCTGCAAATACAAGGAGCTATGTTTTTGTGTCAGCAGATCTTATTTTCCCCCAATGTTTTATACTGCGGATGGCAAAAATTAATTCAGACACTCCTTCCACCATCTCAAAGGATTAATGCATTAAGCCTCTTTCTCTAGCCTTTCCTAAACTGTGCAGCTAAAAGCAAACATACACTAATAAATAGACTAATATCTTTTTTCTCCTGTAGCTTACTGCATGTACAAGGAAAGTGGATTTGACTGTTTTGGATATTTATTAAGTAACCACCAGGCTTTGCTGTGGTAGCATAGTTTAGAAACTATTTGATCGCTATCAATATCAGAGTTTTGACAAGTACGTTGTTTTATTTTGTTCCAGCAACCCAAAGAGCTACTCATTTCTCTCTCTCTTTCTTAGGGACCTTTTGTGTGTGAGTAGATCATGTGAGTCCTAATAGGTCACTGCGAATAAATAGCTCAGCTGAAATCACTATGCTCAGAGTATAACAAAGGCTTTGTTCTGCTGGGCACAATGGAGCCAACAAGGAACAGTAGGAGGGTGATGCTAAATGCTATCTCCGTGAATTTTATTAAATACTAATGTGCAGTGGACTGCCAGTGAGACTTGACAGCTGCACTACATTTATTTGTCCTTGTTAGTCTCCCAAAAAGAGCATAATGATAACCTTGTTAGCTGATGTTTTTACCATCCATGTAAAGTGTGTATACAGGGTGAAATAATGTGTTCGTATTCAAAGTCCGGTACACATCTTAGACTGTAAATGGCACTGTGCTACTCTCTCAGTTTCTCCCTTTCCAAGAAGACTTTCAGACAGAACTCTGTCATCACAGCATAAATAATTCTACAGAGTGAGAAATTTAACTGACATTATTCCAGGTCCTCCAGCTTCTTTTGGAATAGTACATTTTCAACCAAAATGCATTTTTTGGTGGTAGTACTGAAGCCTCTGTTGGAAAAACATTGGGGGTCAATTTTTGTGTTTTTTTTTTTTTAAATATTTTTCCCTAGTTTTTGGAATTTTAACTTTTCTTCAAATTGCAAATGAGCTGCTTGTATTCTTTAATTACGTAGGCCTTTCACTAAGTAGTGTTATTTCATCCAGGCCATTTTATTTGTGAAGCAGTAACCCTATTGGATGACAGCAACTGATAGATATTGCTTCACCTGCCCTCTCTCCCTTAGTTGTTGTCAGCCATGGGCAAATTATACATATTTTAACTGTAGCTTATTTGTTCTGGAAAATGTTTGTGTACTGCATGGAATTATGCACAGGATAAATCCAGCCCATGAGAGCTTTTTCCCCTAGGCCTCAGACTCTGTGGATCGCTGGAAAACCTGCTGAAGAAACTAATATGAAAACCAAACAAGGTTTTTTGTTGTGGCCTTAGCAAATAGCTTAGAAATTGAAAATTTTTTTCTCTGTTCCTTACAAGCAGCTAGCTGATGGATGGAGGAGAAGGGGAGAAGGTGAAATAAAGGAAGGAAAATATATCTATTTCCTGTTCAGACAAGAACCAGGAGGAGAGAGATTCCTTTGTGCAGACCAGAGGAAAGGAGGAGCCGAGTTGAGGGAAGGCAAGTTCAGGAGAAGGAAGTTACTCCTTCTGAATGTCAGTTCTGTAATAGGGCTCTTCTGTATCTACTGGCCCAGTGCAATTTCAGCATTGTTTTGTTGTTCTGTACTTTCTGCTGTGCAAAACGCATTGCAGGGTTATGTTTTCTTTCTATAGATTTCTGCTGTATACTATGAAATTTAAAATAACAATAAGGTTTTGTGCAGTCTCTGGAATTCTACTTAAATGGCAGAATTTGTTATTTTTTTTAAGAACAGGGCCATTTTATAAATACATGCTCTATAAGTATGACTGTTTGCCATGTTTAAAAAAAATAGATTGAAAGCATAAATGATTTTAGTGCCTTGTATTATGTAATAGGCCTGCAGCTGACATGTGGGAATTAGTATTCTGATCTCTTAAACGTATCAGAATGGAATGTAAAGGTACCTTCCTTCTATTTATAAGATAAGATTTCTGTCAGTACTCGTTACCTTAAGATAAGTCAGGAGATACTTAGTGGAAGACAAGATTGTGTGTTAAAGCTAATTACTATCTAAAGTAATATAGCTGTAGGTGTCCTTAGTGAAGGGAGTCTCTGGTTCCCTGACTTACCAGTCACAATAGAAAGTGATCTCCATCAGTCTCATGTTTCTGCATCTGAAGTATCATCCTTGAAAAAATACAGAAATAATAATTATGAGTTAGTTTAGTGCTTGTGAATCCTAGGAAGTGAAGGCAATGATGCAGTATGGGTAAGCTGTGTAGCGTTAAGTTTTCCTTTTCTGACCTGCCAGTTCTTTGTACTCCTGTGTACGGAAAACTACCCGGAGAGGGCGATAGAGCAGTTCTGCAGCGGTGACATCTTGAACATTGTACATAAGGCTTACTTAAACCGTTCAGATAAGAGGTATTTTTTAAACGTTCATTAGTTCCATAACTGGTTATCCACCACGTTAGCTGGATGGTCTATCCTTTGATTATTACTGATTGTTATTGTAGCGCTGGTGGTCCAAGGATATGAGAGGCAAGGTATATGGGGAGAAGTAATATAGGGTGTTACATGGGGAGAAGTGATTTGTTGTATTAAGCCAACTGATTGGGATATTTTAAAAAAGCATAAGAGCTTTTGGCATAGAGCCATCATCTTATATTCTTCATGACAGAGGATTGGTGTGATAAAAATCTTGACATTATTTCTCCCTGTTCCTCCCTGCAAATTTTACCAGTTTGGTTAGCAAAAGCTCTCTCCCTAAAACTCTCTTCTTTGGATTAACATTGGATATATCTGTATGTTATGATACAGTGTTGTGCAAAGCCTTTGTGTAGACATAGTTGTTCTAACTTGTAGGCCTTTTTTCCATGCATGAAATTTTGGTACTGCCTGGTCAAGGAGCCACCAGTATTTCAATTTAATATTTTTTTCCTTTTGTATCTTTTTAGTTGACAGGTAAAAGTCCTTTGGAGAGTTTTGATCTTTTGACAGTCTGATTCTGTTCTGGTCTGATTCTGTTCAGATTAGTGGGACTTTGGCTTTTGAATTCTCTGACAATGTGATTAGGATCTAAGTGCAATTTGCAATCATACCAAAAACCTGAAAGTATATTTTTGTAATACTTCCTTCATGTAGATTCTTAAACACTTCCTTGATGCTTTATCTTTGTATGATTTGTCTTATTCTGGAGACTTCTGAAAGTGCTTTCTCAGCTGTGTACAATGTAACTGTTTTTTAGTTTTGCTACTCTTATCTGTTAATCTGAAACCTATTTAAAAAAAAAGTCTTGTAGAATGTATTTATCTAGGAAATGAAGTGGTTAAAGGTACTTTGAAATATATTCATTCTAAGAATGTCACTGTCATACTGACTTTAGGAAATAGCTATATATATTACTATATGTATAGCTAAAAATGTAGTTATATTTGCCTGATATTCCTACAGTTTTGTCATGCATTTCATAGGCTTTGAAGTTGTGACTCATGGGTTTTTTGTTTTGTTTTGTTTTTAACTGCTAAACTGTGATATAAATTTGTAATAATAAATAGTCACAGTGCAGAGTAAAGCTTTATAAGTAAGTTGGGGAGAATAAAATCTCATCTCTTAAAAGGCCCTTTCTTACAGTGTTTAAAATGAATCCTTATTTCAGGACTGCATCTGACTTTCACCGTAAGAACACACTCCCTTATCTGTGGTTGGTTTTTTTTAATTTTTGTTACTGATTAACTTACAGCCTTATAGTTTTAGTTATAGCCCTTATGAAGGCATGGGGACAAAGATGTCAGAGCAAAACTGAATTATAAGTTTTATTGTAGTTAGGCAGCTCATAAATAAAGAGTTGAAATTTTTTGTTTTGTAGATGGGAAGGTATGTATTTTAAATATCTTTCTCTGGCACTTATCAATGTAGTTTCTAATTATACAATAAACGAGTATTCAAACATCTGCATCTCACTTTTACTGAGGATAGTGAAACATTATTCTTTCTTTTTACAAGTAGGATCACTAGTTAACTTGGCAAGATTGTTTCCTACATGGGCCTAGAGCTCAGGGTTTTTTGTGTCCTAATTTACAATAATTGGGAAGGCTCTTCTGAAGTTTAGGGTCTAATCTTGGTATTTCAGAGCAAAGAATCCTGAAAAATAAGATCTGTATTTTTGTTTCTTTAGGGTACCCTTGAAAGTGGAACAAGCAAACAATGCTCGTGATGCCTTGGCTAAAACGGTGTATAGTCATCTGTTTGACCACGTAGTGAACAGGGTAAACCAGTGTTTTCCATTCGAGACTTCTTCTTTCTTCATTGGAGTTCTAGATATAGCTGGTTTTGGTAAGTATACTTAATTAATTAATTTTCCAGTGTCTGTTGTTGCCACGAAAGATTCAATGATAAATTCTGTAGTGGAGAGTGGGAGGGCTCCCACTCATTTTCTTTTTGATGGTGGAATGGGTTATGAGGGCTTAAGAAGATACCAAGAGAGCAGATAAAGCCTTGTTTTCTGGAGATTCAAGCCTGTTGTAACATGGATGCATGAGGGTGGATTGGTACAGGTTCACTGTATGGTAGCATCTAGCTTTGGTTTGCTGCCAGATATAACTGTCTGTTACTTGTCTTAGAAATGGGATCTATCACGGTATTTTTATGTCTGTCTTATGTGCAACTTGAAAATCTGTAGAAGCTTTTATTTTACTAAAAGAATCAGATACAGATCTGAAAACATTTTTAAATATTAGCACTGTGAAGCTGCTTTTAGTTGCTATGTAATATAAATTCTTGGAACAGTGATTTATCATAGAAGTTTAACTTCTGTTTTCCAGAATACTTTGAACACAACAGTTTTGAACAATTCTGTATTAACTACTGTAATGAAAAACTGCAACAGTTCTTTAATGAAAGGATTCTGAAAGAGGTATGTTATATTTAATGTTATATTTGAGGCTTTATTTTTTAGTAGAGAGATACTTAAGCATTGCTTTCCATAAGATTGCACGTTATACTTAGATTTAAAAAAAAACAGTTGACAAATTATTTTCCTACTGTATGACATCTGTTTGTGCTTTTTGGCTTTTTGAAAACCAACAGTCTGGGTTTTTTTTTCTTCTTTTTTGCCATTCATTAAAATGAGACATCCAGATACTGCACAATATGGGAATATCTGATTGTATGGGCCTGTCATTAAGGAGGTGAAGTTGGAATACGTTAAGCTGTGGAAGAAAATTCTACAGTGTGTGTTGATTCATGCTGTATTTAAAAATGTCTTTATGTTTATTTAAAAAAAAATATTTGGTGGGTAAAAAATTACATGGTGAGTGGTATTTTCTCTCTCTCTCTCATTTAATTTTTTTTTTTTTTTTAATTTTATTTTTTTTTTTTTAGGAACAAGAACTTTACCAGAAAGAAGGCCTGGGGGTTAATGAAGTGCACTATGTGGATAATCAGGACTGTATAGGTATGTACTTCTTGAAATGTCAAGCTATTTGTTAGTGTGATAGAGAAGAGCTTCACCAGAAGAGGCAAAATATACGTAGCACTAGTAATTTTATGGTTTTAATGATTGTTGCAACCTTGTGAATTCTTCCAGCTTTGTATAACATGCCAGTTCTGGTTGGTAATAGAGCCATGTTGTCCTACAGTGTGTAATAACTGCAGCTGGGACTTGTGAATTTCTTGTACTTTTTCCTAGAAAACTAATTAGAACACCTAAATAAAGTAAATAAAGTAAAGACGGGTGTGAGACTGTCTGGGGAAAAATATTCCATTAATTAAAAAAATTTAACTCTCATCCCATTCCCCTAACTTTTTTGAGCCAATGAGCAAAGACACAAAATGAGCTATAGGCAACAGGATGTTACTTCTGCTTTTAGGCTGCCACAGACTGATATACCAGAGGCTTAAGATGATAATGATGTTGGGGGTTTTTTGATTTTTTTTTTTCCCCCTTCTCTACATTCAGCTTTTGTTGTCCAAATTGGTATATTGTGAGATGGTAACTAGTCAGTTCTGGCTGAGCAGGGGATTCAGTGACAGAATTACTCTGTTGCAAAATGTCTGGTTCTTCTGAGTTCTGTAGCTCTGCTGAAGAAGTTTTCATTTTGTTAGATGGGACTGTACAGTCACTAACTCTGACAACTAAAGACAACTCTTGTCAAGCAGACCTCTTGGCTGTCTTGTGAGAAGACAACAGGAAGGTTTTTGGAGGAGGGAACAAAAGCATAGCCACAGTAAATAGGTGACTTTCATGAATACAAATCTTACCTCTTCTAGCGGTTTAATCATGTGTTTAATAATGTCTATATGAACCTGAGCCTGTTCCTAAAAATGCTGTTATAGTTTAGAGACTGTCGTGTTTGTCGTGGTTTAGCCCCAGCTGGCAACTAAGCCCCACGCAGCCACTCGCTCACTTCCCCCGCAGTGGGATGGGGGAGAGAATCAGAAGAGTAAAAGTGAGAAAACTCGTGGGTTGAGATAAAGACAGTTTCATAGGGAAAGCAAAAGCCACGCACGCAAGCAAAGCAAAACAAGGAATTCATTCACCACTTCCCATGGGCAGGCAGGTGTTCAGCCATCTCCAGGAAAGCAGGGCTCCATCATGTGTGATGGTTACTTGGGAAGACAAATGCCACCACTCCAAACGTCCCTCCCTTCCTTCTTCTTCCCCCAGCTTTATATACTGAGCATGACGTCATATGGTCTGGGATACCCCTTTGGTCAGCTGGGGTCAGCTGTCCTGGCCGTGTCCCCTCCCAACTCCTTGTGCACCCACAGCCTCCTCGCTGGTGGGGTGGGGTGAGAAGCAGCAAAGGCCTTGGCTCTGTGTAAGCACTGCTCAGCAGTAACGAAAACATCCCTGTGTTATCAACACTGTTTTCAGCACAAATCCAAACACAGCCCCATACTAGCTACTGTGAAGAAAATTAACTCTACCCCAGCCCAAACCAGGACAATGTATCTATAAAAAGGGTTGCTTCCTCCCCAGAGAATGTGTTTTTTGAAACCTGTCTCAGGGTCAAAAGGGGTTCCCTGGTGCATATTGGAAGAAAAGATCTCTTGTCTGAGTCACAGTGGAGAAAATGGGTCCGGTTGTAGAAGTTGTTGCCTCTTCCTGCCATAGTAAATGTTTGGGCATCTTACCTAAGAATACAAGTAGCAGTCTCTCAGTCATGACCCCTTTTCCTATACCAACCAACATATGACACCGCACCACAGATTTGACACGTTTTTTCATTGTATGAGTTATTCTTAGATAAGTTAATAAAATCATAACTTAGTTAAACCACAGCAGGTATGCCTTTTTTCTATTCTTGCATAGTCAGGAGAAAAGGATTTTTTTACTGCCTTTTGAAGAGAGTGAGAAAAATAATGTTGGTTTCTTTTGAAATATGTTTGGTATTTTGTTGGGTTTTTTTAAGGTGTAGGACCAGGCCAGTGACAGCATTGAACATGTAGAAATACTAACTGTCACAAAAGAGAGGGATATTATGTTGACGTGGACAATTTTTTAACCCTCTGGAAGAATCTTAGAAACAGTCATCAGTACGTTAGAATGCTTTGATGGAATGGTGGTCATTGCTGTAGCTAAATTAGCTTATTCAGATTTTATGAGCATAAATTCTTTGGATCAGGGCTGTCTTTTTGCTCTGTATATAGTCTCATACTGTTACAATCTGTGGTAAGAGTTCACAGGCTGCAGTACAAGCATTAGTCACTTTTTCCTTCCCAGAGAAAAAAAGTAGGTAGTAAAAATTCCTCTTACAAGAACAGTTTCATAGATGATACAAGAAAGTTTTAAAAGCTGTAAAAATTCCTCTGTCTAATAGTTTCAAGGGCATGAATTTCTGTGTCAGCCCTCAAGGGCTTTTGCATATGTATGTCAAAGGGCAAGGCAATACACTTGTAAAAAGTTGTGAAACCACTGCTGTATGCTCAAGTCTGATCTGCCTTTCTTAAAACAAATGCATTTCATTTTTCTGCCTGGATCCTGTTGTGAATGGAAGTATGTGCCTTTTCATGCTTTTAGTTTTGACATGTGGTGAAACATGGATGAAAAGCTTGAAAAAACCCAACCCAACAATATAAGCAATTATCCCATAAAGACCTACGATTGTACCATGGAAACATTTAGGTGCCTTTTGGGAATTTGATGACTAAATTCAGCTGAGACCCAGAGTAAAAATGAAACAATTTGTGCCTGACCTTTTTCCCCCATGTTCCTTGTGTTAGAGTTAGAACTTGCTATGTATAGGAAATTGATTAAATCAACAATTCAGATATGTAAAATTAATTTGCAATAACTTTGTATTTTATGTTAACAGCTTTCTCTAGATACAGTTACACAGAATCAGATCAGTAGCATTTTAAACTTGCAATGTTCAGTTCTGATATGAGGTTATATATTCAATTCTTGTAAACATATTTTTTTTTATTAATAGATTTGATTGAAGCAAAATTAATAGGTGTACTGGATATTTTGGATGAAGAAAATCGTCTTCCCCAACCAAGCGACCAGCATTTTACTTCAGTTGTGCACCAAAAACACAAGGACCATTTCAGACTCTCTGTAGGTTTATTTTTGCTGTCCGTCTTGTTTTAATAAAACAGTTCTTGGAACAGCTGATAGTAACACTTCAGTTTAATGAAAACCTTTCCTAAGAAATCTCATACCACACCAGTCTGCATAATCCGTGTTCTTTTGTTAGGGACAGGTTTGGTTATTAGGTTTGTTGAAAAGTTCAGTAACGGCTGAAGTCTTTTACCAATTCTAATATACTGCTGAAACTAAAGCCATATTCTTTGCTTACACTTGAAGTTTGTTAACATGTAATGCATGAAAAGGAAATAGAAACACATTGTAATTTATATTATTTCATATCACTTGAGCTATTTGGTTGTATATTTCAAAAAATTGCTTGCATCTTTCAAAAAATTGCTTGCTTTGGAGAATATCAGACTCACATAGTGTGTCTAGCTAGCACTTCAGAGATGAAACTAGGGAACACACAAGGAAAACCTTTTTGTTCTTGTTAATTCTTTAACATACAGCACTTTGTGGAAGATTAATGCAAATTAATGCAATTTATGTCCATGACTTAAACACTGGACCAGGTTGCCCAGAGAGGTTGTAGATGCCCCATCACTGGAAACATTCAAGGCCAGGTTGGACAGGGTTCTGAGCAACGTGATCTAGTGAAAGGTGTCCCTGCTCATTGCAGGGGAGTTGGACTACATGACCTTTCATGGTATCTTCCAACCCAAACCATTCTATGATTCTATGACTTCTCTTGAAAGGGAGGGGGGAAAAAAAAAAAGTTCCCTGTTGAGAAAAAAAATGCAAGCAAAGGGAACCACATAGAATTGTCATTCATTTACTTTTCGTTGTTTCCACTTAATCTTGCTTAACTGGATTGCTGTGCAATGAAATGTTTCTGTTGATATGTGTATGACGAACTAAGTGGTTGCCTTTTAAAATACACCATCTAAAAACATATTTTAAGCTTCTATCTAATCCTCTTCAGCTGATAAGGCTATTCATCAGCTGTGGAATGAATGGTATAGAAATTGTTGATTAAAGGCAAAAAAGTAAATCAACTAGCTGGTGTTAGCAATCCTGGTGACTTTTATTTTGAATGTGAGGTATCTAAGGGTGTGAATGAGAATGAAAATAGGGTTTTAGAATATCTTGGTTTGAATGGGAATGGTAGTGGTCATCACAACTGTACTGCAGGAAATGTCATTTTTAACACCTAGTACCCCTGGTAGAATCATGGTGGTGTTTTAAGAATAAACTTTTTCTCACTCTCCAATGTAATTCTTCTTTACAATTCAACTTTTTAATTCCAGATTCCTAGAAAGTCTAAACTGGCTGTTCACAGAAACATCAGAGATGATGAAGGCTTTATTATCCGACATTTTGCAGGAGCAGTATGCTATGAGACGGTAATTTTACTTTCGCAAAACTATTTTTGTTACGCTTTGTAGTACTTTTATATTTTTCAATGTATGTAGGTTAAATTACAAAATTTCCTTTCATCAGAAGAGAAATTCAAAAGTTGATGTATCTTAGCTTTGAAACTAATTTTGTGAGTATGTGACAGAATTGAGAGTTTCTTTTAACTTCTCAGATTACAGACTGTTTTGGTGACATATTTTGTTTAAGAGTTTGATACAAATCTGGAGGTAATCGTGTCAATATTAAATATATTGATTCATGATCAACTGCAGGTCTTACATCAACAGAAGTTTGGGGAGAAGAATATACTACGTGATATAAAAGTATTGTTATACTTAAGCATGCTTCTGAAAAGTTACTCTTATCCCCATATGCAATCACTGTTTATGTTATATTAAAAATTACATTTTTTACTTTTTGTTTTCCATTTCTACTGGCAATAGATTCATTCATGTAAGAATACAAAATACCTGACATTGCTATGCTCAAAATACATTCCAGATTCTTGTACTTTTTTGACTATTCATCACACAAAAACATTTAAACACCTGAAGCCAATATCTAAAACATATTTTTTTTAAAAAAAAAATAGGAGTTTAGGATAAATGAAAGATCTAGAATGCCTTGTTGTTCTGGTCTGTAACTCCAATGTGTAAAAAGGAAGCTACTTCCAAAGATGGCTTTTTGACGTTTGAAAATGTGTAGTTTAAGGGCTTGTTCTTATTTACTTCAAAATATTCCAAGAATGATAACGATTGCTGTGCTGGTTTGAAATAGACACATTCTGTAGGTCATTTTACAAATAAGAAAATTGAACACTCTGTGTTACCTACCTGATTTTTTGAAGTCACTCAGTGAGTCAATATCAAAATAATAAAATTGGAACATGTTTGTTCCAAGTGCTCTGTGTTTAACTGTGTTCCTCATCATGATATATTAAGAGAGTCTTCAGGAACAGAGGAGCTAGATATGAGCACCAAAGCTCTGCTGTCAGAGCTAATCAGATAAGACGTAGCTTTTTGTCCAGAACCTATGCCAACATGCTTGATTTAATTTATCCTCTCCCTCAGAGGGTCTTTCTTAGGTTGGGCCTTAAAACCTTTGGACGATAGCTGCCTTGTACCTCACCTGTTACATGTTTCTCTTGCTCGCTGCACTTGTGGCAGTTCTCACAATTATTCGTAATGAGGGTGCTCCTCTGGCTGCATTCATATTCCAGTCTTGTGTTTTCATAGTCCAAGGGAATTTTGGAGGCCTGTGTTTGTTTGTCCTTTGATTCTCATCACTGTTAAATCCTTTTATGGGATATCTGGCAACTTCATATTTTCTTCAAATTAGTCTTGGCCTCTTCTGTGCATAAATATCAAAGTTACTATTAAAGTTGCATCAAAATCTATTGAGAATTTTGTTAGATTAAATTGGGTACTAGCTTCTTGATCTCTGAATTTCAGTGTAATGTGTTGTTCTTAACTTCTAAAAGTTAGTGAGCCAATTTAAATAAACCAGAGAGGTAAGGTTTGTAGGAAGGCACAGTATCTTTTATTAAATCAGCTGTTCTTAAATAGTCATAGTACTACTAATACAACCATTTTTCATTTCATTTTCCAAACTCTGTGGATGCACCAATTAAAGTGTGCATGTTAATTCCCATTTCACAACAGACCTTAAGTGATATTACAAGCAGTGAAGAATTAAGCTTCTTAGAATTCCCAAGTGATGATGTGCTGCATGCTGGAAATTGAAACAAGGAGGATAATCATTGACAAAAACACAGCTAATCTCTTAAAAGGCACTAAACCTTACTTTGGGTTTTATGATTCCAACAACATCCTTCAAATTTAAGCGTATCTTTTCTCTCTGTCATTAGTGTTTCATGTGTCCAGTTGAAAAGTTGTTTGAAATAATGTATGAATATTTACCCCATGTATTCTTGCTGATTTTTTAATTAAGTATATAACTTTGTTTTCTTTAATTTTGTTTAAGACTTAAGTAAATGAATCAGTGAAACAAATGTGCTATTATTTCTTGGGTTGTCTTTTCAGATGCAATTTGTGGAAAAAAACAATGATGCTTTGCACATGTCCCTTGAATCTCTTATATGTGAATCCAAGGACAAGTTTGTTCGACAGCTATTTGAATCTAACACAAACAACAACAAGGATTCCAAACAAAAAGCTGGGAAACTTAGTTTCATCAGTGTGGGAAACAAATTCAAGGTAACATAATATAGCAAAGAATCTTACCTTGTAATATGTGCCACTTTTAAGTTACCTGAAATATGTAGAATCTAAGTTTGGGAGAACTAGTGGTAACTTGAGATTCATACAAAGAAAATTTTGTTAAATAGTCTTTTTTTTTCTATTGAATTATAAGAAACCAGTATATTCAAGCTGTGCGCTATGCATTTCTGTCAAAAAAATGTTTCATAATAGTCCTTACAGACAGTAATTTTTAAGTCAGAATTTTGCGAAGCCACATGGAAGTCTTTATTCGAAGGGCTTAAAGTCTTGAGATCTAAATTTGGAGTCTATGGACTTTAAGGAGTTCTAAATGTGACAAAATGTGTTCTTCCATCCTATCTTAATTGTGCATTCTGGAGGATGTATCAATTGGCTACAGTTTGCCATTCTCAAAATTCAGTATCTAACCTAACCGCTGTTTTTCCTCTTCTAAAATATAAAGATAGTCATGGCTTTCACAGAAAGATGTTCATTGTGCTGAATATTTCCTTTCGCAATACCTGAATCTGATGCTTCTCCTCATTTTCTCCTTTCTTCTGCTTGTTGTAAAGCTGACCTTCAAACCTTGTCTTCTCCAAATGTTTTCTGCATCCTTTTCTCATTCAGCAGTTTTATTTTAGCTGGACTATTCCAGCTCAGGATGGCTAGAAAGAGAACTATAGGGGAATTAAGAGATGAAAAGCAGGCACAACCATGCGCTGCAGGTAAAATTTTCAATCTCATGGATTTACTGTTGGTAGAGCTGCTGCAATTTCAGCAAGAGCTCTTCTCAACGCATTTGGGCCAGATCCAATGAAGGATTTGTATGCCTTCAAGTCAAGTGCTGCAACATTTTTGGTATGCTACCTTACTTAGGGCACGTAAAACCCCACATCATGTTCCTACCTAGACTACTTAGTCCCTGGGGAAAGCGGGTATCTTAGACAATCCAAAAACCTTCTAGAGTGGGACCCTGCCAATAGCAGATGAGTGTTTCTGCTCCGTGTCAAGGTTAAGTGCTGGGTCAGGACTGCAAGATAAATTCCTTTTTGCATAATTGTATCTTGTGACTAGTGTTTAGAACTGTTCTCTAAAAATGCAGAGGCTGAAGAACAGGAAGGATATGGTAGCAGCACTTGCTTTTCATGTAGCAACAGTATTCTGCTTCAGGTCTATAGTGTATTCAGTGTTTTTTGTCTGCTGTATTTTCTGTAGCACCAAGTTATTGGTCAATCTGGCATAGGGGATTTTCCTTATACCCTTGTGGAAATGAGTTGTTATATAGCCAGAAATTAAATTTTGATGGGGCCAGGAAGAGTAGGAGACAGAGCCTGACTTGTAAGGTAGTGGTTTTGGTACTTAACTGGGAGTTGGGCAGCCTGCTGTCTTGAGTTTTGCTCTGATGATTATTTCTTCCTCCTTCTTGTTATATAGTGGTTGTAGAACTAAACTGTAGCAATTGGTTTAATATAAAATGCGTGATCAGACTAAAAAATGGAATTACATACAGATAAGCCATCTCCTGAGCAAGCCCTGCAACCATGAGTCTGTTGTAGGTGAAGCTAGGATCCATTGGGTTTTTTTATAACTGCATTTTCAAAGTGAAAACAACTGTGGGATCTTGGAGATAATTTGCACTTTCTTCCACCTGGGTTCTCGATTCCTCTTGGATTTAGCACTCCACATCCAGTTGATGTGGACATGTGAACAATACCATTGTTCAAGGAGGGCTGAAGTAAAAAGGGAGGCAATTTTTAAGTTTAGCAGCAATTGAGTGGGGAACTTTTTGGATTGCCTTTTGGACTTTGGTGTTTACCTCTGCACCTAGAACATGATTTAAGTCCTCTTTGGATCTGGCCCGTCAATCTATAATTCTTTCAATGTTTTCAAGTTTCATGGCATTTTGAATGTATGTGTTACTTCCAGTAATTCATTTAGTGTTACCTTCCCAGACACAACATGGGCTGCTGATGAACACTAATAGCCTTGAAAATTTCACTTCAGATGTCATCAAAATAAGTTCCATTATCTTAGTAGAAATTTCATCTTTTTAAGAATAAGAATTCTTAGTGTGTCAGTATGTAAGTCAGTCTCGAATTCTTCTAATTACATGAATTATTAGATGATGTTGCAGGGACTTTTCTTTATGAAATCCTTCACACATCCCTTCCTTATAAGTAATTAAAATTAGTTCACATAAACCAGTTGAGGAAATAATGATTAATTAGTTCATCAGATCTACTCAAGAATCTTTGGGATAATTTTACCTTAATACGGTAATAATGGATTAAATCATCATAATTCAAAGAGCAGTAGTTTTAGCAATATGCTTTATTCATATGATCATTTCATTAGTGAAATTTACCTGAGAATGGCTCTGGCTTATTTCTTGTCAAATCGAGTATAAGGAAGGGGTATTTTTCCTCTAGCGGAAACATATTTTGTTGATGAAAATTATTAGGCTGTCCACTCTGAAATTAAGCATTTCTAACTTAAGAAAACATAAAGGTTATATTCAAGTAGATATAAAGAGTATGTGTAAGTGAGAACTGAGCAGGAGGTTATTAGTGTTTGTCATGCTTCTTGTGACACTCCTTCTCTCTTTCTAATCATATCCATGATAAGTTTAAAAAAAAAATAATACCCAAACCAATTTTATCCATGGAAGGACAACTGGCAGCTGTAGGTGATGCATATTGCCCATGCATGTCTGGCAGATCCTTTCAATTTTGGTTCCTGTACAGAAAATGAGGAATATGTTAAGACATACAGAATTTTGTCTTAGTTCAGTCTATATGCTTAATGCTTGCTAATAAACTAGAAAGGCTGGCACAGCAGTAATCTATGTGGTAAAACAGACACATTTTTAAAGGAAAAGTATAACTGTTTTCCTGATGTGGTTCTGGAATATTTTAAGTCCCTACTAATTACATTCAGTAGCAACTGTAACTCATTTTCCTTGATAGGCTGAAGTCTCTCGTGATCCTGTAGACTTGACCCCAATTAATCATACAGCTGTGGTCTTTTCTCATCATAGTATGTTTAAATCCAGCCTCAGTAAATGTGATTTAAAAATTATAGTCTGTTGTCATCAACAGAGAATTAAAAATTTGGAAGTTTGGAATGAAAAATAGATTTTGCAAGTTCATTTACCAAAATGTTTATTTAGCTTCAAAAAAACCCAAGAAAACCCTGAGCATATGTGTTTTCTGTGTCAATTATTTAACATACAAATATATACTTATTATAGATTAAATTAGGCCTTTCACAAATTTTCACTCTATTTCTTTTAATTATTACTGGTCAGTCTCATTTTCTTCATAATTTTATTATGTAGCCATTATTTCCTTTATTTTCCCAAATGGACTTGCACTTTTTTTTTTATAACTACGTTGTACTAACTAGTCCATACAGTATTGTTGCACAGTGAAACAAAAGCAATTTCCTTAGGACCATTCATGCACACTTGCATGATTTTGTCTGTTAAAATTTGTGAATGATTTATCAGTTCTGTCTGAGTTACTAACAATGAACATGCATGCAGTAATGCTATACCACTATTCTGTGTGCACATTTCTGTAGTTGTCATGGTAAGACTCTTGAAATACCTGTTTTCTTTTACAGACTCAGTTAAATTTGCTTCTGGAGAAGCTTCACAGTACTGTAAGTATATATACCGATGCAGGTTCGTAATTTTCTGATGTAAGTCATAACCAATTATCTCAACAATATGGCTTATAGTAAATGTGATAAATAATTGTTTTAGAGTTTGCAGTTATGTAGCTTTTGAAACATCTTGCTGTGCAGGTGATTATTACTTACTTTAAAAAGTCCCACTACCTTTAAAAAAGTTGTTGTAGAATGAAAGTTCTGCACAATTTGCAGCCCAGACAGATTTCATATTTATTCAGTCTCCTTTTTTTGTCACTTTTACTTCCCACTGTTCACTGGTTATTATTGATGACTAATTTGCAGAAGATTTAGAGGTGTTATTTAGAAGTAAGGCAGATGATAATTTATTATTAAATTCTGTTTTCAGATTCAATAAAGCTGTTACAATATTTCATTTCACTTTTGTGATAGGCTGTAAATGCGCAGATGGTCAAAGAACCTGATTCCCCTCATGAGTATTTACTAATTTAGCTGATGTAATTTCATAGAATCATAGAATGGTTTGGGTTGGAAGGTACCATGAAAGGTCATCTACTTCAATCCCCCTGCAATGAGGAGGGACACTTTTCACTAGATCAGGTTGCTCAGAGCCCCATCCAGCCTGACCTTGAATGTTTCCAGGGATGGGGCATCTACCACCTCTCTGGGCAACCTGTTCCAGTGTTTCACCACCCTCATTGTAAAGAATTTCTTGCTTCTATCTAGTCTAAATCTACCCTCTTTTAGTTTAAAACCATTACCCTTTGTGCTATTGCAGCAGGCCCTACTAAAAAGGTTATCCCCATCTTTCTTATAAGCCCCCTTCAGGTACTGGAAGGCCTCAGTAAGGTCTCCCTGGAGCATGAAATAAGCATTGAGGCATTTAGGTGATGTAACTGTAGAAGATGATGAGGGTAGTAGAAGCTAAACTACTAAATCATAATTAGATTTTAGTAATATTTAGAAGAACAGTTGAGTTGAAAACACAAAAGTTGAGGATCCAATTAATAGCTTGAGCATTGAGATCAGTTACATCAAGACCAAGACTAGAGTGCAAAATTGATGTATGAGAGACTTTTTCTCTCATATATGATCAGCATTTCTCTTTTAGAATGTTATTATTTTGTATCTCCCCCCCACCCCTAACTCCCCCATAATTCTTAAATGACTGTTATTTCAGGACGTTTAAAAATGTGTAGATTCTACTAACTTCTTGTTTTGGTCATAGGGGTCTAGCTTTATTCGCTGTATCAAACCTAATTTAAAGATGACAAATCACCATTTTGAAGGAGGACAGATCCTCTCTCAGCTTCAGTGTTCAGGTAATGTGCGCCTCTGATATTTTTCCCTCTGTTTGTTACTTTGGGCATTATAGATTAACCAAAGTTTGAAATATGTCAGATGGAAGCGGTATTTCCTTGCCTGAACTGTTGCTTTCTAGAAGGTAGTTTATTTATGCCTTATAAACAGTTATTTAGATTCTTAGTAACTTAGCTCTCATTTTAGTCAATAGAACACTAGAAATAATTTATTTGAACAGCCGTAAGGTCTCCTCTTTGCAAGAAGAGTTGATGTAATTTCCGTTGACTTTTTTTTCCATTGATGATAATGAGAGTTCAGACACCAGGTGCATATGTAAGAAGCCATGGAGCCATATATTGGTACATAAATTTAGATTTCCTGATCTGGAGCCGAATCTCATCTCTTTGTGTTGCCCATAATGTTAATAGAGCAGCAGCAGTCCGGAACAATAGAATTCCTTTAAATTACTGTGGCAGTTGGATCATAGAATGGTTTGGGTTGGAAGGGACCTTAAAGACCCTCTAATTCCACCCCCCCTGCCATGGCCAGGGACACCCTCCACTAGACCAGGCTGCCCAAAGCCCCATCCAACCTGGCCTTGAACACTTCCAGGGATGGGGCATCCACAGCTTCTCTGGGCAACCTGTTCCAGTGTGTCACCACCCTCACAGGGAAGAATTTCTTGCTTCTATCTAGTCTAAATCTACCCTCTTTTAGTTTAAAACCATTACCCTTTGTTCTATTGCAACAGACTCTACTACAAAAAGGTTATCCCCATTTTTCTTATAAGCCCCCTTCAGGTACTTGAAGGCTGCAGTAAGGTCTCCCCGGAGCCTTCTCTTCTCCAGGCTGAACAACCCCAACTCTCTCAGCCTGTCTGCATAGGAGAGGTGCTCCAGCCCTCTGATCAGCTTTGTGGCCCTCCTCTGGACTCGCTCAAGCAGCTCCATGTCCTCTTTATGTTGGGGGCCCCCAGAGCTGGACGCAGTACTCCAGGTGGGGTCTGACGAGAGTGGAGTAGCAGCGAAGTGTTAGAAACTCCTGTGTGCGTTTAGAGGCAGTCAGTGTTAGCTATCTAATAATTGAAACACACCCATTTTCTTTGATTTTATGTTTCTATGAATCTAGGAATGGTGTCTGTTCTGGATTTGATGCAAGGTGGTTTCCCTTCACGAGCTTCGTTTCATGAACTATATAATATGTACAAGAAATATTTGCCCGACAAATTGGCTCGACTGGATCCTCGGCTTTTTTGCAAGGTAGCAAAGAAATTAATTCATCTTCTGTATCATCCAGGACAGAAATTGTATTGTGGGAGGAATTGTGTTTTTGAACTTTTTTTTTTTTCTTTTCTTTTGAAGGAGGCAGAATATAATCCCAGCTGTTTTCTGTCTTTCAGGCACTATTTAAAGCCTTGGGACTGAATGAAAATGATTACAAATTTGGGTTAACCAAGGTGTTTTTTAGACCTGGCAAGGTAATGTTTCTCTTGGAGTTCATGAATTATCTTAGAACAATTTTGGTTGGAAGGGACCATTGAAGTTGACATTGTTCAACACATTGCTAGAAGCATGGCCAACTTTATATAAGGTTTTCCAGGGTTTTTTGTAAATATTGTTCATTTTCTATGGGAAAAAAACCCCAACCACCTGATATAATTGGTTTCATAGTCTCGTTGCTAATGCTGCTGTATTCCTAATGCAGTATTCCCAGATGTTCTATCAGTCACTTAAGGCTTTTGTTGACTATTAGAAAGAGCAAGTCAGAGCAAAGGAAAAATATTTTCTAGTAAAATCTGTTGAGAGTTGAAATCTCTTTCTGTGATTCTGAGCATTGCTGCTGCTGCTATGCAGAGAAAGGAGGTGAAGTAGGGAGCTGTTGTGACTAGAAAAGAAAGTTGTTGTAGTCCACAAGAATGTTCTTACTGTCATAATTACTGAAAAGTATAAGTGCAGGATTTTCAGAAAAGGTTTCATTTAGTTGGACTCTTATACAAAGGTTGAAATTAAGAAGTGGTTTTGGGGCTTTATTTTTTCCCAGATACAGAATTAGAGGTGTCCTGAAGTTGTGGAATGCCAGAGCAGGTGTTCAGGATGTAAAATTTTTAAAAATGTTGGCATTAATATTTTTAGTGATGAACAAATAGATTATTCAAAATGCTATGTTGCACATAAATGAAACAAACAAAAAGCCCTAGTAGTCATTTCTGTTATCATTAAAGGATAAAGTGATGCCAGACACGCCTGCTCATTTGAATTAATTGCAAGCTGATATAATGATGACATACAGTTTGCATTAAAAATTATTTTACCTTTTTAACTCAACATGCTCTTAAATAATCATGTCTAACACTCTTTGTTCTCCTGATTTGTAAAACTGTTTTTTTATATATTTAGTTTGCAGAGTTTGATCAGATAATGAAATCCGATCCGGATCACTTAGCAGAGCTAGTTAAACGAGTGAATCGCTGGCTTATCTGCAGTCGTTGGAAAAAAGTTCAGTGGTGTTCTCTCTCAGTGATTAAATGTATGTATTTCATGTTTTATTAAATCAAAATGTTTGCTAAAAATATAGCAAAGCAAAGCAATTATCACCTCAAAATGTAGCTAAGGACAGCAGATGGTTACGTACTAAAGTCTGAGTAATCGCTTTCAAGTTTGGTGAGATTTATACATATAGGAGGGCTTAGAGCAGAGGTTTTTAAAAGTGGGACATACAGCCCACCGCACATCTCCCGTGCCCAGTCTGCTTGGGCGTTACTGAAGCCTAGGTAGACACTTGCACAGAAATAAGTAGCTATTACAAGTCTTTTGGGGAGAGACTTCTACATCAGCAG